AAAGTCAAGGAGTTGATGAATTGATGCAAATTGAATTAATGACATATGGAAGAGAATTTGATGAAAAGGGAGGAGAAATGGAGGAACTTGGTGGACAATGGAGGAAAATGGATGAGAACTGGAGGATAAGGAAGGACAATGGAGGAAAATGGATGAGAAATAGAGGAGAAAACAGTATTATCAATGATGCAGAGAAGGGGAGGAAAAATGGAGAGAATTGTATGAGAAGGGAGGAGAAAGGAAAGAAATTAAGAGTGTTCTGCAATTTTTGGGTATATATATAGTATTTAGCATCACATATCATGTTACTGAACGTTATTAGCCCACCTAAAGCCCTCCAATCACTAACGTATTTCATGATACTAATAAATATTTAAATTTCAAAAAATTAGAACTCATCAACATGAATTATATTGCTAAAACTAAAAAGTAGATTTTCAATTCAATCGTGAAAAGTTTTTGCACTCACCGACATGTAGTATATCACTAATTGATACTTTAGTAACATGTATTACATTGCTAACCCTTAATATTGCCTCATCCCTAAGAATTTGCACTAAGTCTTTTTGCACTTTGAAATTACCTTACCTGCCAGTTATTCATCATAGCAACCTGTGTTCAAATTTATTACATAACTGATAATGTTCACTAATATAATTCCCCTTTACCTAATCATAAATTCAAACTTAACTATAAAACATGAAATGAGAAATAAGGGAGTGGAAACAATAAAACATCTATTATATCAGTTATCAAAATATCAGTTATCAAAATATCATTAACTGTTCATTTAGCAAATATCATATGCCAGAATAGAAGTTTTTTGGAGATACATTAAAAAAATATGTGTTAATAAAGCAATAAAAAAAGAGTTTAATAATTTACAAATGTAATTACTTATAAATAAAAATAAATAAAATAATTATGTGAAAGGATGGAAGATATAGCTTGAATTGAGAGAGTAATTAAGAAACATATAACAATGATTAGAAAGCAGAAAAGGAGTCTGTATAAATAGATGCATATCATAATGATAGTCTTGTGATTGAAAATTAGGTAGAGTGGCTGGTCAATGTCAAACACCAATGTGAGCTACATTGGTAATTTATGAAATTACCACATCAGTGGCATACATGTCCACTAACGTTAGCATGTGTGACTTGATTTACAGTTTTTTTTTTCTTTAAATTTTTTGGATAAAATTTGACTTACACTCTAATAAGTAATAATCAATTAATTGTAATAAATTAATCTTTTTAATTATAAGTGGAAGTCATATTCGTTGATGTGTTTCTATAGTAATAAATAAGATACGATTAACGTATTATTCATATTGCATGAAAGAAAATTTCTAATGTTTGACCAACAAATATATTAAATTATATTACGATTTGTTTGGGCTTAATTTAATAAACAATCTAGTAACTTTTGTATTTTTTTGTGTTGTGTCTACTATCTTTAAATTTTCAATTCTCTCTATTATCTTTTACATTTATTTTAGTTTAGTTTAGTCTATTAATTTTGTAATAGCAATTTCATTATATTTGATCAAATTGATCTTTAACTATATATTTTGTGAATTTTTATTTATTGAAATTAATTTTGAGATAAAACTAATTTTCTGAAAATGATAAGTTCCTTTTTACTATCTGAAAAATTGTTACCTTTATTACATGTTGTTTTAATTTTCCCTTTTAAGAATTTTTATTTATAGCAAAAACTACAATTATTGATATGTTTTAATAATTTGCATACTTTATTGTGGATTATTTTGTTGACTAGGATTATTTTGTTTTAATTTTGATTTAACTTTTCTATTAAAACTAATGAAAATTTTGTACAATAGATTAACTCAAAGTTGTTAATACCATACCGGTATAAATACCAATTTTGTTATTGGAACAGTACATACCGAATGCCAAAATTTTTTATGTACCGTTTCGAATTTGTCGCTATAAATATATATTTTTATAAATTAAATATCAAAATTTAAAATAATGATAAGAGAAACTAATTTTTAAAACCATCATATTCCTATAAATTGAAAACAAATTTAAAGTAACCAATTTTATAAAACATTCATAATTTTTTCTTTATATATATAGTATTAGAAAGTATAACAGTGTTATGAGTTTAATATTATACAAAACAATAACTTTGAATTGATGAAAAAAATGTAATTATCAAGTTGATGAACCACAAAAATATA